TCGTCAACAGGGGCAGTGTTTTTGGTCACGCGGACGGAAAGCGCCTCTCGATTCAGCAGATGGGCGACGGCAGCCTCAACGTTTACCTATCGTCCTTGCAAGACGAGGCGGACTGGATGAGGCCGGAGAAGTGTGGGCACGACACATCCGACCTGGCAGCCGCCAAAGAGGCCTTGATGGAGGAGTATCGCGACTGGGACAGCACCATCACCGACGCAATCCTCAAGGCACAAGGGGACTGCAAGACGAGGTCATTGTACATGCTGCCCGTCGGCTTCCGATGGGCACACCACCGAGGTGTCACCGTCATTGGCGATGCGGCGCATCTCATGGGGCCCTTTGCTGGGGAGGGCGTCAACGTGGCCCTCGAGGACGCCATGAGGCTGGCGGCGTCCATCATCGCGGCCGCCGAGAACACGGAGGATGGGAAGGAGACGCTGGACCAGCAGGTGGACGCCTTTGAGAGGGACATGTTCCCGCGCATGGAAAAGGTGCAGCGGCTGACGGACGAGCTGATGCACGATTACTTCCACACGCCGGGTGTACCGCAGAGCATCATGGCGCGGGTTCTGACGAGGCATGTGCAGTTTTCGACGCCGGCGATACTGCACCCGCTGGCGACGTTGGGTGTGCATGGTTATTTGTTTTGGAACAGCCTGGCCTCCCGGTGGCGGTGAGGTTGCTCGGGTGTATCTGCATTGCTTGTGCTGAGGTTCGGACAGCTTGGGACGAGGTGTTTCTAGACCAGGCCAAAGTTGCTGGCATGCTCGAGAGAGAGGAATGTGATTGTCTCTCGATCTACGATCAGCTTGTGTACGTCTCGGATGCAATCTGGGACGGTGGAGTCAGATGTGTTTGGTATAGCGAGAAAGAGAGAGAGAGAGAGAGAGAGAGAGACAGCCGTCAGCTGGTGTATCCAGGTTGAACCTCAGTTAGTTTAGATCGGATGCCACGGTACATGATGATCCCCTCATTGCTTGCTTTATGCTCGACGGCCTCACAGACGTCGAGTGTTTGTTGAAACGTTTCACCAGGCCAGGAGGGTGGGAGGGGGGGGGTCCGGGGGTCCTGGTACTAAGGTTCCTTAGGGGGGAACCCTTTTTAGGGGAACCTTAGGGGTTCCAGCGGGGTTCCCCAACAGCTGTCGAAAGCAGGTACAGGCCCTTCAGGCTGGCGTGGCTGGCGACGGTGCAGGGCACGTGCGCGTGGGTACACTGGCTGGCCAGGGCATGAAGGAACCTCTGTGTACCTACCTACCTAGGTTCCTATCCAAGCAACTCCCTGGGTACCTCCAGAGGTTCAAGCCACACACCCCAGTGAGACACGCCAGCAGCCGGCTGACCTGGTTGGCTACCTAACTACCTGGCTACTACCTGAGGTACCTTCCTGGCTCGACACACGGCCTGACCTCAGTCCTGGAGATCCCCTATCGACCTGCATCTCAGCCCGGATTCTTTGCATCCTCCATCCATCCTGGCCCGAACGCACCTGACCCGTTCCTGTCGTCGTCCCGTTTCGTTCGTCCACTTGACAGCGAAATCATCAACTCATCTCCGCCTTCGACAAGACTTCTTGCGCCGCCCGACGTCGCCCACAACGCCTCTCCTCATGGACGTCTGATCTGGCACCGGTGCCCACCAAGCGCTCTGGCTCCCTGTCCCCTCCCCATCGTTTACTCTCCCGATTTGTTTCCACTCGATATCCTATTCGGTACATCTGTTGGCCGCACGCCGCGCTCATAATACAACAAGGAGAAAAGAAAGAGGGAAGGACACCTAATCGGCCGTCGCGTAGCAGAGAGACAGGAGGTGGAACGCTCCTACGGCCGCGCAGCAAAACGCACATTGTGCCCACCCAGCAAAAAGGCGCCGCATCGTCCTCACGTTTGTGGCAACCTCGCCGCCCGTTCGCAAACGACGCGCCGTCCCGGTCACGACCGCCACGATGCAAGCACCTGGCCCATCACGCATGCAGCGCCGCTCCCCCGGCGCCACCGAACCTGGCCCTCCTCCGAATGTCCCCGTTCGCTCCATCTCGCCCGGCGTGGGCATGAACCCCCAGATGCGGTCGTCGACCGCCTCGAGCCGGTCCGCGCAGTCTAGCAGCTCGCGCAGAGGAAAGGTGCGCCAGTTGCTGCCCTCGTTCTGTCTCTTTCTAGCTTCGTCCCACCGCTTTGCAGGCGTGCTGGGTCTGACCGACCCTCTGAGCCGCCTGCCCTCTTTCTACGCGTCGTGTGCTCGCCCCTGCTGGGATCTGCGGCATGCTTCTTGGTGCCGTGGTACTGACGTGTATCCTTGTAGGACTCGACGGGGTCTGCGAACATGCCCCTTTCCCAAATCGAGAAGAGCGTCACCCATCTCCTTGTCGCTACCAAACAGCTGCTCGAAACCCTGACACAATGGTCTCGAGGCCAGGCGACCGACGGCCAAGTGTCCGATGTATATGTTAGGCTGGGATACGAGTTCAACATGGCCTGTCGTGCGTTCAGCGCTATCAACGTCGACACGTCCGACTTGGGCAATGTTCCAGAACTTCTTCGCAACATACTCGAGTCGACTCTGAGCCAGGAAGCGAGCACAGAAAGCCTCGAAAAATACCTGCCAAGGATACGAGACATTATTATCAACTTGTTACACGGCCTCAAGAGGAAACAGCAGAAACTCCGGCAGAAACAGGCGCGGGACAGGGAAGCCGGCGCATCAAGTTCTGCCCCGGAACGCACCGTCAGCACGAGCACCGTCGCCAGCGGCAATACTGGCCTGACCAACCTGCTGGAGGAGGGCAT